AGCCTGTTTCCCGTCAAGCAAGTAGGTGTCAGACTCCTTGATTTTTTTTCAACTTTTTTTTTTTCTCTCAGCATTGTTACCAAAATTGTTGAAGAAACAAATAGATTTGCACACCAGCAAGGGGAACACCTAAACAACGATGTCAGAAAGAAAAGGAAACTTCTGAAATATAGTGATGTTACTCCTCAAGAAATTTTAACTTTTATTGGTTTAACTATTTCTATGGGTATAACTCTCTTACCATCTGTTACAAATTACTGGTCTACCACTCCTTAACTTCATCTTCCCTTGTTTTCTTCAGTATTTTTCAGAGAAAAATTCCTAACTATTGCTTGCTTCTTTCATTTCGATGACAATACTAATAATCTACCTAAAACTGATCCTAAACAAGATAAACTTGTGCTTGTGCTTGATCATCCACTAACAGCTTTTCCAGCTCACTATAACTCTTCTAGGGAACTTTCTATTGATGTTCAAATGTTGGGAACAAGGGTAGAATTTCTTTTAAGCAATATCTATCTAGCAAGCCTACCAAGTGGGGAATGAAACTTTGGGTTCTGGCAGAAGCCGTGACTGGATACTGTTTAAATTTTAGAATATACTCTGGTAAAGAGGGATCTGTACCTTCCAAGGGCTTAGCTAGCACAGTTGTAATGACTCTGATGGGAAAAGTACCTTGGAAGGGGACACTCTCTTTTTACTGATAATTTTTATACTTCCCCAACTCTGCTGTGATGTGGACTGATAAAAAGAGATGTTCATGCTCTTTCTACAATCAATAATGCTACAGTAAAGAAAGTGACAAGAAGACAGGGTGACATGATTAGCAAGCCACAGCTAATCTTGGATTACAACAAGTTTATGGGAGGGGTTGATCTTAATGATCAATGTCTTAGCTATTATTCCATTCCACGTAAAAATGTCAAATGGTATAACAAGCTTTTCTTTAGACTTGTTGACCTGTCTATTGTCAATTCTTTTATTCTTTTCAAACAGATAACTAAAAATAGCAAGTGCAAACAGAAGGAATTCCGTTTACAATTATTGGAATCTCTCGTGAAACCTATAATTGAAAGTAGAGGAGGACCTTCTTGTTTTTCAAGTATCCATTTACCAGTTCAGGCAGATGCAAAGGAATGGCTCGCACCTGGGAAACATTTTCCAGCATTTGCTGAAAAAAAAAAAAGGGGGTGCAGATTGTGCCTCCACAGAGGTTTAATTAAGTTGACTTATAAACAGTGCAAGGTTCATCTCTGTGTAAGGCACTTTGAAGAGTACCTATCTTTGAAGACTCTTCAAAGAAGTTAACTTTTCTTTATACCAAATCTAGTCAACATTTTATGATTAGAAAGAAAAGTAAAACTCAGTCTGATTCCTTTTATTTCCATCTTCCTTCACTTTCTTAAAATCTAAAATTTCTTTAGTAT